CAAACACCCACGTCACAGGTGTCTATTAGCCCAGTTAACATTAGTACTTCAAACACCTACGTCTTCAGGTGTCTATTAGCCCCCGTTAACATTAGAACTTCAAACACCCACGTATTTAGGTGTCTGTTAGCCCCGTTAACATTAGAACTTCAAACATCCACGTCTTCAGGTGTCTGTTAGCCCCGTTAACATTAGAACTTCAAACACCCACGTTTTCAGGTGTCTATTAGCCCCGTTAACATTAGAACTTCAAACATCCACGTCTTCAGGTGTCTATTAGCCCAGTTAACATTAGAACTTCAAACACCTACGTCTTCAGGTGTCTATTAGCCCAGTTAACATTAGAACTTCAAACAGCCACGTCTTCAGGTGTCTATTAGCCCCGTTAACATTAGAACTTCAAACATCCACGTCTTCAGGTGTCTATTAGCCCAGTTAACATTAGAACTTCAAACACCCACGTATTCAGGTGTCTATTAGCCCAGTTAACATTCATACGTCAAACACTCTTTAATTTATTCGCCATACAGTCGATACTTCGTAACGAAACATACGTGGCACCACTTAACATTTGATTGTTGTAGCAGGCTTTCTGTGAGATAAATTGGTTCCCGATTCGCTCACATTATGACAATTGGTCTATCAGCACCATGATAAGGATAAGTTGATAACCGTTTAAACGTTACTGCCGCTCAGCTGACTTTCCTTGAAACGTTTAAAACGACTCTCAAGTCCAGATGACAGGACCTTCCAGGTACATAGCAGGATGTTCGCGTTCGCCAAGTCTCGTTTTCCATGACGTCATCACGCCAGTAGCAATTCATGACAGAATTGCATAGATTTCTATGACAATGATTATACATCACAATATTTTGCATCGACGTAAGATATTTTTCAGCAAGAGCTACAAAAAAGCACATTTTTAAAAATTTAAAACTATGAGCCTTTAAGCAACACACATTGCAAAAATGTAAATTTTGTGGCAGGCAATTTCTGTTTTTCTATACGTCTAAAGAGAATGTATGTTTTGACAACTTACTACTGCCCACTTCCCCCTAGTCGTTTCATAGGAACGTTCCGAATGATAAAATTAGTACGGATTGTGTCAATAATCAAAACATACGTCTCTCTGAACTTGCATCGATGCCCCTGAGAAGACACGGAGTGAGCAGCTGTGGAGACATAAAACAACATGCAGGTGATGTAGAACACACAACACAAGGCAAATTGTTGAAGACGAAGCTAGGTTCATAACTAAAGGCCTGTGCTTAAGATGAACCCTGACTCAAAGTACAGGGTTTACTGAAAGATCACAAGGGAACACACATGTCCATCACATGCCCCAGGTGTCACGGCAAAAATAACACAGTTGGAAGTAAATCAACGAAACCACACATAATACAGAATTTGCTTACCAGTATAAAATACAGATATTTCATCGTACTCCTTCTGTTTTACACGGCAGGTTACTTGTGTGCTTGTTTCACTGTAGTCTTATCTTGAGGAAACAGATTGTGTGTTGGGTAGGGCTCGGTCAAAGTCTACTGTTGTTTTTATATCTTACTAACCAGAGTACAATAACCTAGATCCTAGATAAAAAATCGCAGTGTCAAGTATTTCTTTCTGTTTTCTACATTGCCGTTTTGCAGCGTAATCATACATAGAAGATATTTCACGAGACACATGGATTATCCTATTTATTATATACATATTGTGCAGCTGTCTACCGGAAAGTTATTTTTTACCATTACAAACGTAAAACCTTGGAACGTAAATTCTCCCTACCTGACACGCAGGGACGTTTCGCCACACCTTGTAATTGCGACTTAAGAAGTAGTTCCGAGTTTGCAAAATCTTAAATATATAAACAAAAGCAATACAAAAGTCACTACAATTCTTTATCAAACATTTGGATATATACAAAATCAATTTAAAAACATAAGCTTGGAAGTTACGATACCGCTGTTGGAATACACGCTGGTCAAATAACAAAAATGTCTCTCTGCGAAACGACCAGTCTCGACCAGTTATATGAGTAAGTTCATTACATACATTTTCAAGAGAATAACAAATGGGAAGAAGCGATATTAACTCCCTAAATGACCGTCTGTCCTCATTTTGCCTTGGCAATTTGGAAGGAAGTCAACAGTTGGTGTACGGCCCAGACACTTATGATAACTGGAGATTATTTACGGGGATGTAGCTCTTTTATGACAATGGTTCCGTCAAAGTATTATGTTGACTACAATAAAAATATCCCCATTTCTCAATCCCAGACACCTCAGTCTTTAACACGGAAGTATATAATAGACTTCTAACTTTCTATGTATATGTGAATGGGCGTGAAGAGACGCTGCCAGCACACATGACTGGAACAAAAAGACGAAAAGAATAACATTCGCCGATATACAGCAAGCATGCAGTGAGAACAGTACCCATCACATGTATATACAATAACACTAATGCTCATTTAAGAAAACAGTTTCCGTCCATAATAACATAAGCGAGAAAAAACACTTTCCATAATCAGAAGAAACATCTGCTAAAAGCAGAGTCTAATGTACAGCGACGAAAACACATGCAATCCATTTAACGGTTCCGACTATATCAAAGGTAATTACTATTAACAGCCATAACACAAAGTGCTAGCGAAAAGATGAAACACCATGCCCAACCGGTGGCATCCGTCACAAACACATGTAAAGGCAAGTCAATTGATCAACTAATAAAACACAGGAACGTATGGTACAAGTCAAAATATGGAATTGCATAGGACATCATTTTTTGTCATAAAGATTTGGAAATGTCCACCAAATGTCTACCATACAACATTTGAAAGCTTTGCTGTATGTTGTAACCCTGATCAAACAACTTCTGAGCAATAGTCGTATGATGCTCTTTGTAGTTTTGGTACACAGCGCATGCTCGATTGGACCTCAAAAGTTATGACATGTAGACACCAAAGGCTGGAATCGCGGGAATATTGTTCGACAGCTAACAAAGAGTGACTATTAGAAAGTTTAGGCCTTCCTTCTTGTCATGGTGTCTGGTGGATAGTTTTTTCATTCACGGTAGATATCTTGAATGCATATTAATTAATGTACATGCTACTATGTACATTCATGCCAATCAATAGATTTAAACAAACTTTGGCAAGCATAGCGCTACGGCTCCTCCTCGCCGTTGTCACTCATGGCCTTAGAGTAGGGCATGGTATTGCGAACCTCTGGTGTCATCTCGGTCACGTGTCCCGGACATTGTTATAAGGGTCACTGACCACATTTTACAAATATGGAAATGTCATAGAACAAACCAGATGACGTCACTATAATACGTGATGTCATTTTCTCTACCCTATGACGTCACCTTACAACGGGCTTGATAATGGCCCGTCGTCAAGCAATATGAGGGCATTATCAAGTTACAGTGGCCCGCTCATTTCTGATAACGTGCGGGCGGTTTAATGATAATTCTATCCATTTTAGCTATACTCTATGATAACACACGGTCAATGATGAAGATATATTTGACGTGTTCCCGCCTGTGTATTTCAATTCAGCAGGACACTTACATAAGGGTGGTGCCGTGTATGCAAATGTATGTATCCTTCCTACTCCACGCTGCGCGGGCTGGAACACTGTCTGGGCATAGCTGGAATTGCAGCATTAGGCAGAAAAACAACATCTACTCTGGCGAATTTGTAGTCGAGTGTGTCCGTCATATCTCTCTTGGTTATGCAAATCACAGAAGTTGACGTCATCATGTTAAAGGGCATATTCCTGGACTGGCATCAACTGTAATAGATGACAATTACCAAAACATATAACTTTTCTCAACCCCAGAGACCTCAGTCTTTAACACGGAAGTATATAATAGACTTCTAACTTTCTATGTATATGTGAATGGGCGTGAAGAGACGCTGCCAGCACACATGACTGGAACAAAAGACGAAAAGAATAACATTCGCTGATATACAGCAAGTATGCAGTGAGAACAGTACCCATTACATGTATATACAATAACACTAATGCTCATTTAAGAAAACAGTCTCCGTTGGACAATTACCAAAATATATCTTGTCCTACATCAGCTGCTATCACCTTAGAGACGTGACACCATATTCAACATCGAAAGGTAAAAGATTGTCTGTGAATATACATAACTTGCTATTCCTTGTCTTCGCTAACTTCTAAATACCATGCAATATTACAGGATAACATCCCTGTTACAATGATGACCAGCGTTCCAGTATCAGCTGTAGAACATATGACTTCAACAAGGCTTCGTAGCAAGATGGGCTTAATGGTATACATATACATTGCGCTGTGAAGGACTTGTGTTCAGCATATATTCGTCACTGTTAATGGAGTTGATAGTGCTCTCGGAAATGTACTTTAGTTGATCTTTTGAAATTCAATCTTCCTGTTACTTCAGCCCGATCAGGGTCGATTGACGTACAATACAGCATTATCAACAGGTGTGCAGTCATTATTATTGAGGGCCACGGTGGCTTCCCACACGTCTAGTGGTATTTTCAGACTCCTAGACACATGTATCAGCTGTACAACAGACGACATCGGCCCTTTAAAAAGGAGATTAAAGTACTTTCGCAACAGCCACTGCACATTGGAGACCTGACACACATGTAGAACTACACGTACCTCAGTATCATTCACACAAAGCTTCAGCTTCCCAATATTTCATTTGTTACTTTTGATAGACAGAATTCCACTGTGAAAAGCACACAAGTAGTATGTTTGTTGCTATGTTCTAACATAAAGAGGGAGGGAAACGCCGTGCACCTTTCAGCAATAGAAGTTAACATCCTTACACCTTTCTGTTCTAGATGGTGCTCTTGCAATTTGAGGTGTCACAGGGATAGAATTCACCTCTTCAGTTTCATCGTCAATGATGAAGACGTGGAAGACAGACGCTGGACAAGAAGATCATGGCATACGCTCACTGTACAAACAGTTGCGCAAAAACACAAAGTCAAAAACTGAAATCAATTTAAGTTTATTTACATATTATTAATGTGGACTTTTTTGTATCAGCAGCAGGGTTGGACTTAACCCTTTTTCGGGTGGAATGTGGGGTTTTGGCAGGTGGAACATCTTCCACAACACTTCTGTATACCGGGACAGTCACTGTCACGGTAACAAGGGCGGCCGTGGCCGCAGCGGATGGCGAGCACCGAGAAGGCATGGCAGTAACCTGGTTTATCTGAAAGTGAAGGTGACTTAGTGATTCTAGAGTTTTCGTGACTCGTGAACCTGTAACTGTAACCCTGGCCCTACACACGTGGACAGATAGTATGGCAGGATCAGATGCAACATATATAACAGGGTCTCCTCAGATGCAACATATATAACAGGGTCTCCTCAGATGCAACATATATAACAGGGTCTCCTGAGATACAACATATATAACAGGGTCTCCTCAGATGCAACATATATAACAGGGTCTCCTGAGATGCAACATATATAACAGGGTCTCCTAAGATGCAACATATATAACAGGGTCTCCTGAGATGCAACATATATAACAGGGTCTCCTAAGATGCAACATATATAACAGGGTCTCCTGAGATGCAACATATATAACAGGGTCTCCTAAGATGCAACATATATAACAGGGTCTCCTAAGATGCAACATATATAACAGGGTCTCCTCAGATGCAACATATATAACAGGGTCTCCTCAGATGCAACATATATAACAGGGTCTCCTGAGATGCAACATATATAACAGGGTCTCCTAAGATGCAACATATATAACAGGGTCTCCTGAGATGCAACATATATAACAGGGTCTCCTAAGATGCAACATATATAACAGGGTCCCCTGAGATGCAACATATATAACAGGGTCTCCTGAGATGCAACATATATAACAGGGTCTCCTAAGATGCAACATATATAACAGGGTCTCCTAAGATGCAACATATATAACAGGGTCTCCTAAGATGCAACATATATAACAGGGTCTCCTGAGATGCAACATATATAACAGGGTCTCCTAAGATGCAACATATATAACATGGTCTCCTGTGTTGCAACTTTTATAACATGGTCTCCTGAGATGCAACATATATAACAGGGTCTCCTCAGATGCAACATATATAACCTGGTCTCCTAAGATGCAACATATATAACAGGGTCTCCTAAGATGCAACATATATGACAGGGTCTCCTTAGATGCAACATATATAACGGGGTCGCCTAAGATGCAACATATATAACAGGGTCTACTGAGATGCAACATATATATCAGGGTCTACTGAGATGCAACATATGTAACAGAGTCTGAGATGCAACATGCATTTTTAAGAAAGGAACATATTTGACTGTTTGCCTTTTTTTTGCTTGCGTATTAAGCTGCTCAACCTACCTGTGTTCAAGTGTTAAAATGTCAAATAAAACGTCTTACCGATCGGGACGCAGGTCGCCGTCGGGGTTCCTAGTCTGCCATATATGACCTTACAGACATCACCAAGATGACATTCGTAGTTCTGCAACAGGTAAAATAATAAAAAGCCATAGCAACAAATCATGTGACGTCTTCGGCTATGGCAACACTTTAATGATCTTAATGACAATAGGAAATCCTCACAGGACAACACAGGTGTCAAAGATACTCGATTATAGTTCATAGTATCGAAAATCATAAACATTAACTTCTTGTGTGTTCATCTTGATTTCAGATTGGTTGTAAATACAATGTACTTACGTGGCATGGGTCGACGATGGTTGCATAGCATGCACCACAGAGAAGAGCGAGCACCTGGAAACGATGATGTCGCGAGGAAACAAATCCGTGACAGTTACAATTTAATAGGATGCACATTTGCAGTAATGTCTGTAAATGAACCTGTTTTACAAATCCTACATGCCTGTGATTATACCAGCACTGACCTGTGCGTAGGATCACCCCCGAAATAAGCTCACGTGTTTAATTGATATACAAACATATACATAGGTTTTGTGACATATGTCAAACATCTTCAAACAGCACCTCTGCCGAACACGTTCATTCTTTATTATCAAACATTGACATTGGAATTCATCTTTCGACAAACAGTCAACCGCAGTTGTTAAAGGGACCTACGCAATACTTCGAGTTTTCCGACGTTCGACACGACGGTGTGTGACTGTATTTATTTACTTTCAACAGAAACCCCTTTGACATCTTGAACAAAACTTTATACAGACAAAACACTACAGAGCTGCGTCGTTTTCGAACAAATAAAACGATCGTTGCAACGGGCAATGAGTATCATGTACAGCATCGAAAACCTGATTCCTTACCAGGAATGATAAGAGTGACATCGTGAGTCTTCAGCTGTACGGCGTGTGGCTTAGCCAGGCTTATATAGTGTAAGCGAATCTCTCACCCACCTCCCACCCCAACCCCCTCCACATATACCCATCTGAAAGGACTATAGCCCTATTTTTCAATAAAATAATGACAACTCCTTTGTCTTTGACATGCTTTAAATGTATCCGCATGAACGTACATCGTGACCTTTTAAATGATTTAAATGGATAGGGAATGTGATTGATTAATCTCTCTGAAGTGTATATACCGAATGTCAAGGAAGAGAAGATACTTGTTGTGGGCGTAGAGAGGTCACAGGCCTACTATACGTCTATAGGGCAGTACGAAGTACATCTCAGCAGACGGCCAAGTATCAACTAGTGCAGCCCGCGACATACATTATACTGTGAATATTGATTACATAATACAACAATACTGCAAGTAATAACTTCACTGTGTGTAGTACAGACGAAACAAAACATATGCAGTCAAGGCGTTGTGGGATCTGCTTGATTGCGAGGATTCTATTTCGTTATCGCATCGAACATCATCACATGGTCTGCACCACAATGTATCTAAATGTCCTGCTTCTTTTATTTTGTGGCAATGCACCACACGGAAATATGAAACTGCTTTATTTGGTAACAAAGCAACACAAGAGGGATATGTCGCTCATGTACACCGCTCTCTTCTCAGACATGGCGTTTCACCAAGGCAGTAGCCGAGGTCCTTAAAGCGGTGGTGGCATTCACGAGTGCTCTAGCATATGAATGTTCTACTGGGATCATAGTTTAACTGACATGCTCGGGTATTTTTATGTTTCGGATACTTTTATGATAAATGGATTTTAAGTTTATGTATTTCCCAGAAGCAATGAATCAGTTCTAAAAATGACGCAAGTTATGGTTGCGCTCGCAGCCAGCTTAGTTTTAAATAAATAGATTTATGAAACACCCGATGTGATTCTGGAAGTGAAAATAGCTGTTTTTAAGGGGGGGGACTGACACGATTTGCCAGGTGCTCGATACCTGGTGTTTAAGGGAGGGAGAGATAGAACTTGTCATGTGCTCGATGCCTGGTGTAAAAGGGAGGAAGAGATAGAACTTGTCATGTGCTCGATACCTGGTGTTTAAGGGAGGGAGAGATAGAACTTGTCATGTGCTTGATGCCTGGTGTTAAAGGGAGGAAGAGATAGAACTTGTCATGTGCTCGATACCTGGTGTTTAAGGGAGGGAGAGATAGAACTTGTCATGTGCTCGATGCCTGGTGTTAAAGGGACGAAGTGATAGAACTTGTCATGTGCTCGATACCTGGTGTTTAAGGGAGGGAGAGATAGAACTTGTCATGTGTTTGATACCTGGTGTTAAAGGGAGGGAGAGATAGAACTCGTCATGTGCTCGATACCTGGTGTTTAAGGGAGGGAGTGATAGAACTTGTCATGTGTTTGATACCTGGTGTTAAAGGGAGGGAGTGATAGAACTTGTCATGTGTTTGATACCTGGTGTAAAAGGGAGGAAGAGATAGAACTTGTCATGTGCTCGATACCTGGTGTTTAAGGGAGGAAGTGATAGAACTTGTCATGTGCTCGATACCTGGTGTTTAAGGGAGGGAGAGATAGAACTTGTCATGTGCACGATGCCTGGTGTTAAAGGGAGGAAGTGATAGAACTTGTCATGTGCTCGATACCTGGTGTTTAAGGGAGGGAGAGATATAACTTGCCATGTGCTGGATGCCTGGTGTTTAAGGGAGGGAGTGATAGAACTTGTCATGTGCTCGATACCTGGTGTTTAAGGGAGGGAGAGATAGAACTTGTCATGTGCTCGATACCTGGTGTTTAAGGGAGGGAGTGATAGAACTTGTCATGTGCTCGATACCTGGTGTTTAAGGGAGGGAGTGATAGAACTTGTCATGTGCTCGATACCTGGTGTTTAAGGGAGGGAGAGATAGAACTTGTCATGTGCTCGATGCCTGGTGTTAAAGGGAGGAAGTGATAGAACTTGTCATGTGCTCGATACCTTGTGTTTAAGGGGGGGGAGAGATATAACTTGCCATGTGCTCGATGCCTGGTGTTAAAGGGAGGAAGTGATAGAACTTGTCATGTGCTCGATACCTGGTGTTTAAGGGAGGGAGAGATAGAACTTGTCATGTGCTCGATACCTGGTGTTTAAGGGAGGGAGAGATAGAACTTGTCATGTGCTCGATACCTTGTGTTTAAGGGAGGGAGAGATAGAACTTGTCATGTGTTCGTTGCCTGGTGTTAAAGGGAGGAAGTGATAGAATCTGTCATGTTCTCGATACCTGGTAGGGAGAGATAGAACTTGTCATGTGTTCGTTGCCTGGTGTTAAAGGGAGGAAGTGATAGAATCTGTCATGTTCTCGATACCTGGTAGGGAGAGATAGAACTTGTCATGTGTTCGATACCTGGTGTTTAAGTGAGGGAGAGATAGAACTTGTCATGTGTTCGATACCTGGTGTTTAAGGGAGGGAGAGATATAACTTGTCATGTGCTCGATACCTGGTGTTTAAGGGAGGGAGTGATAGAACTTGTCATGTGCTCGATACCTGATGTTTAAGGGAGGGAGAGATAGAACTTGTCATGTGTTTGATGCCTGGTGTTTAAGGGAGGGAGAGATAGAACTTGCCACGTGCTCGATACCTGGTGTTTAAGGGAGGGAGAGATAGAACTTGTCATGTGCTCGATACCTGGTGTTAAAGGGAGGGAGTGATAGAACTTGTCATGTGTTTGATGCCTGGTGTTTAAGGGAGGGAGAGATAGAACTTGTCACGTGTTTGATGCCTGGTGTTTAAGGGAGGGAGAGATAGAACTTGTCATGTGTTTGATGCCTGGTGTTTAAGGGAGGGAGAGATAGAACTTGTCATGTGTTTGATGCCTGGTGTTTAAGGGAGGGAGAGATAGAACTTGTCATGTGTTTGATGCCTGGTGTTTAAGGGAGGGAGAGATAGAACTTGTCATGTGTTTGATGCCTGGTGTTTAAGGGAGGGAGAGATAGAACTTGTCATGTGCTCGATACCTGGTGTTTAAGGGAGGGAGAGATAGAACTTGTCATGTGCTCGATACCTGGTGTTTAAGGGAGGGAGAGATAGAACTTGTCATGTGCTCGATACCTGGTGTTTAAGGGAGGGAGAGATAGAACTTGTCATGTGCTCGATACCTGGTGTTTAAGGGAGGGAGTGATAGAACTTGTCATGTGCTCGATACCTGGTGTTTAAGGGGGGGAGAGATATAACTTGCCATGTGCTCGATGCCTGGTGTTAAAGGGAGGAAGTGATAGAACTTGTCATGTGCTCGATACCTGGTGTTTAAGGGAGGGAGAGATAGAACTTGTCATGTGCTCGATACCTGGTGTTTAAGGGAGGGAGAGATAGAACTTGTCATGTGCTCGATACCTGGTGTTTAAGGGAGGGAGTGATAGAACTTGTCATGTGTTTGATGCCTGGTGTTAAAGGGAGGAAGAGATAGAACTTGTCATGTGCTCGATACCTGGTGTTTAAGGGAGGGAGAGATAGAACTTGTCATGTGTTCGTTGCCTGGTGTTAAAGGGAGGAAGTGATAGAACTTGTCATGTGCTCGATACCTGGTAGGGAGAGACAGAACTTGTCATGTGTTCGATACCTGGTGTTTAAGGGAGGGAGAGATAGAACTTGTCATGTGTTTCATACCTGGTGTTTAAGGGAGGGAGAAATAGAACTTGTCATGTGTTTGATGCCTGGTGTTTAAGGGAGGGAGAGATAGAACTTGTCACGTGTTTGATGCCTGGTGTTTAAGGGAGGGAGAGATAGAACTTGTCATGTGTTTGATGCCTGGTGTTTAAGGGAGGGAGAGATAGAACTTGTCATGTGTTTGATGCCTGGTGTTTAAGGGAGGGAGAGATAGAACTTGTCATGTGTTGGATGCCTGGTGTTTAAGGGAGGGAGAGATAGAACTTGTCATGTGTTTGATGCCTGGTGTTTAAGGGAGGGAGAGATAGAACTTGTCATGTGCTCGATACCTGGTGTTTAAGGGAGGGAGAGATAGAACTTGTCATGTGCTCGATACCTGGTGTTTAAGGGAGGGAGAGATAGAACTTGTCATGTGCTCGATACCTGGTGTTTAAGGGAGGGAGAGATAGAACTTGTCATGTGCTCGATACCTGGTGTTTAAGGGAGGGAGTGATAGAACTTGTCATGTGCTCGATACCTGGTGTTTAAGGGGGGGAGAGATATAACTTGCCATGTGCTCGATGCCTGGTGTTAAAGGGAGGAAGTGATAGAACTTGTCATGTGCTCGATACCTGGTGTTTAAGGGAGGGAGAGATAGAACTTGTCATGTGCTCGATACCTGGTGTTTAAGGGAGGGAGAGATAGAACTTGTCATGTGCTCGATACCTGGTGTTTAAGGGAGGGAGTGATAGAACTTGTCATGTGTTTAATGCCTGGTGTTAAAGGGAGGAAGAGATAGAACTTGTCATGTGCTCGATACCTGGTGTTTAAGGGAGGGAGAGATAGAACTTGTCATGTGTTCGTTGCCTGGTGTTAAAGGGAGGAAGTGATAGAACTTGTCATTTGCTCGATACCTGGTAGGGAGAGATAGAACTTGTCATGTGTTCGATACCTGGTGTTTAAGGGAGGGAGAGATAGAACTTGTCATGTGTTTGATACCTGGTGTTTAAGGGAGGGAGAGATAGAACTTGTCATGTGTTTGATGCCTGGTGTTTAAGGGAGGGAGAGATAGAACTTGCCACGTGCTCGATACCTGGTGTTTAAGGGAGGGAGTGATAGAACTTGTCATGTGTTTGATGCCTGGTGTTTAAGGGAGGGAGAGATAGAACTTGTCATGTGCTCGATACCTGGTGTTAAAGGGAGGGAGTGATAGAACTTGTCATGTGTTTGATGCCTGGTGTTTAAGGGAGGGAGAGATAGAACTTGTCACGTGTTTGATGCCTGGTGTTTAAGGGAGGGAGAGATAGAACTTGTCATGTGTTTGATGCCTGGTGTTTAAGGGAGGGAGAGATAGAACTTGTCATGTGTTTGATGCCTGGTGTTTATGGGAGGGAGAGATAGAACTTGTCATGTGTTTGATGCCTGGT